ACATTGTGTCAAATGTCCAGAATTCAATTCAGGTAATAATTGGTCTGATTGCTTCGAAACATTCCTCTCGGATGTGCGTTGTGCTGATTTGCTTGGATTATTTATATCGTCTTCAGAAGTAGAAGTATAATCATCAGTTTCACTTCCAGTGTTATTTTCGTTATCCAAAATGTTTCTTAACTCAGTTATGTCTCGCCCTATTGCGTCTTTATGTTTTTGTGTCAATTTTGTATGACTTCTGTAGCGTTTCGTACGGGCATCCTCTGAAGAAGTTGTTTGATAGCGTATTGGCTTGTTGTACGCTTTCCTCGTTCCTCCATATTTGTTAATGCCAGCAAAAGTATTTCCAAATTAAGTGCGAGACAAAACGATTTTCAGCGCGCTATCCTACTGAAGAATATAGTGTATTTTTTAATGTGTTGCCATAGATATTGGAGTGCATTTCTCGTCGCAACCGGGTACCGTGCCAATCTAATTGACAATTTTGATTATTGATACAACTATTTTCTTATTTTGTACATCCTCTGCAACCATCCTTGATAGTTATCCTCTGGGTTTGATTCTAATTTCCTTGCATTCACGTCGCACTATTCTTGCGTTCATCAAGTCGTCATTTCGGTATCGCGCATTACATTGTATCATAATTAAAGAATATTCTCTCGTGAATATTCCATTGAGCCTGGGGCTGAATCTTTTGTCTCAGTATTACGTGATGGTCGTCGTAAAAAAAGGTATGGGGAACCGGACGCCTTCAACACAATATTTGGCTGGGTCTTGACGGGCGTGGTATCTCCGTCGTTACAAGTAGCACCCCTGCACTTGTTTGCTACCACTTTCGAGTCGATCGAGACCGCAGTGGGTCAATTTTGGCAATTGGAAGAAGTACCAGAACACACTTCTTGTTCGGAAGAAGATCGTCGATGTAAAGAGATTTTCGCAAAGACCACTTATCGTGACCACTCGGGTCGCTTCGTAGTTTCGTACCCCTTTGCGTCGGATCCTCCTACATTCGTCGACTCGCGTTCTATAGCTGTTAGTTGTCTCCGCGCGCTCGAGCGCCGATTCAAATCAAATCCCGAGTTTAGAATTTGTTACAATAATTTCATGCAAGACTATCTTCATAGCTGTCATACGGAATTAATTAATGACCCATTCCCGTTGGATGGTTACATTTATTATTTGCCTCACCATGGCGTGTACAAACTAGATAGCACTACCACCAAGTTGCGGGTAGTGTATTGTATTGTATCGTATAACTTTATTTCATATCCCTGTAGGGTTCGAAAGTCGTTTTTTAAAGGAACGTTCCCAAACCTTTTACAAAACCCTTTACAGGCCTCCACCCTTTCTCAACGCAGCCACTTAAAAAGGGTGGTTAGTCAAATCAATTTGATAAGAATTAGTTCAAATTTATGGACAATATTCGTCTATGGGAATCTGTCGTCCATGCCAAAGTTGAAAACAATCGTTTGGTTGTCGAGTAATTAATTATTGAAGTTATACTCTTGTCTCTCTCTTATACACGGGTGACACAGCAAAAATGTTACTTAACCTGAATGTAACTCTTGAAAGCATATTAAAAATAATAAGAATTTAGTGAAAATAGGTGCAAATAACTCTTTACATATTTAGGAAGAATTTTCTCAAAAACTGAAATAATTCGTTTTTATAGTTATCACTGAATAGTTATCAAGAAATTGTAAAAATAAAACAGGACCACATTTATTATTTCCACATTTCAATGTGGATAATAACGTATTTGGGTTTCAATTGTACAAACAACTCTTTTTAAACCTTAAGAAACAGCAATTAAATGCATTCTACATATTTATTTGCTAAAATTCGTTTATTTTACACGACGAAAATCTAACCTATATGATTTTTCCCTGCCGCGCGCCGCCTCCCCGCACGGAGAGCTAACCAACCTCCTTAACCTAACTTATACTATCTTAACCTACTTAACCTGGTGGTGTGGATGTGAGTTTCTGCCTCTGCATCCGCCCACATCCACACCCGCCGCACACACACACACACACACACACACACACCCTCTCCGCAAGGGACTTCCGTTTCTTCTTGCTTCTATAAAACCCGTTAGAACCACCTATAGCCCCCTCTCTTCGGCTTTCCACTCACTTTCTCTCATTTTCACCTCAATCACACCTCATTCCTCCCTTCCCTCTAATCCCTTCAAGTACCCCTTCCTATTCCTATCCTCGATCTCCCTCATCCACCATTCCCCCTCTCCCTCCTTTCCCAGCATTCATTTCTTCGCTTCCTGCCAACTCCCCCCTCCCTCATCCCATTCCCTACAACGCTCCCACGTATGCTCCCACGTTTCCTACTCTCCCTCGCACAGTCTGCAAGTCCTTTTCTTTTCCTCCTCCCAATGTCTACCCTCCCTCATTTCGTTCCCCAGCCTAAATCTCGCAATCCTATTCCACCTACTTTCCTCCACCCTTCCTTTAGGTACTCCGGTATCCCTACCTCTTTTACTTCCTTATACCATTTGTTGTACCTTGACTCTTTTATTTTCTCCCATCTCTCTATTCTTTGAACCTCCCTTTCCCACCTCATCATCTCCTCTATTCTTGTCTCTTCCTCCCTCCTCTCTCCACCTTTCTCTCTTCCCACAAGCCTCTTTCGCTCATAAAATTCTTCCTGTCTTCTTCCTAACTCGAGGTTCCTCCTCTCCTCCCCGTTCTTTCCTTCACCTCCTCCCAGCACATTCTCGCCAGCTCGCTTCCTCCTCCCTCCTGCAGCCTCTTTTCGAACCCCCACGCCCTCCTGTCCGCCCTGCCTCTTAATTTTTCTCTCTGCAACTTCTCCCACACCAAGTACCACGGCGTCCTCCTGTCTACTCCCAACACCCATCTCAAATATTTTTCTTCAAGCCTTTCCATCTCCTCTCTCTCTTCCCATCCCTATATTTCCACCCCGTACCCCATTACCGTCCAGTCAGCTTATCAAATAGCCAAAGCCTTTTCCCCCAATCTTTTCCAAATCTCCTCTTCCCTATCCTCCACACTTGCCCCATTACCGCCGCCGCCTTCCTAACCCTTTCTTTGGTAAATCTGAAGGAGAGCTCCCTCCTCACCGATTTCGCTGAATTTAGGCTTAATTGACGCGTTTTTGCACAAAACGAACGAATCTGGCAGAAAAAAGCCCCGCTCTGCCCCGCGAAACGAGATATTAACTGTTAAAGTTAACGACTATCAGGTTATGAGACCTGTCATACCGACGCGATGTAGCGACTACGGACATGCTCCGCGACCACATGCGCGCATGTCCCGTGGTCACGTGATGTACTTGAGCGCTCAACCTCAATGACATATTATATATTGTTCTGTGCAATTCCAAAATATTTATAATGCCATATTCACAGTAGAGCAATTATATAGTCTTCCGTGGCTACTGGTTCAGGATGTTGTTGGCGATGCAAAAACATGGCCCAAATTCATCCGAAAAATGTTTTGGGATAAAAATCTAAAAGATCACAATAGAATGATCCTTGTCAATTTTTCATATCTAAATGCAGTATCCGAAGATTTGTTGCACGATATAGTAACTTTTACGTTGAAAAATGCGTATACAGCGGAAAAGAAGCGCAATATTAAGGATAGATTTAGCTATTTAAATCACGAGGTAATTGTTTTAATTTCAATTGATATATATATCAAATAAGTATTAATTATGTTTTTTATAATTTGTAGCAATTCGGACATATTCGACGCAGCCGTGTATACAGTTATCACGTTTATTTTAAAGAAATGTTAGATCTCAACTTTAATCCAATTAATAAATAATAAAATTTAATATATTGTTTTCAAGTTTGTGGTTTTGATTACAACAGAGAATATTTTGGAACACAAATTATTTCTGTTACAGATATTAAGCGTTGAAGTTAACGAAACAGAAGTAAAATTGTTAAAGCAGAGAATTGTTGGTATATGAAAAGTTCATATTTACATGTACTTTTCATACACCAACTATTCTCTGCTTTAACAAATTATTTATTCTGTTACAAATATTAAGCGTTTAAGTTAACGAAACATAAATAATTTGTTAAAGCAGAGAATAGTTGGTATATGAAAAGTACACATAAATATTTACTTTTCATATATCAACTATTCTCTGCTTTAACAAATTATTTATGTTACAGATATTAAGTGTTGAAGTTAACGAAACAGAAATAAAATTGTTAAAACAGAGAATAGTTGGTATATGAAAAGTTCATATTTACATGTACTTTTCATATACCAACTATTCTCTGCTTTAACAAATTATTTCTGTTACAGTTATTAAGCGTTTAAGTTAACAAAACATAAATAATTTGTTAAAGCAGAGAATAGCTGGTATGTGAAAAGTACACATAAATATGTACTTACCAAACAGACAGTTGTCACGTGACCTTCTTTTGCATGCGCGTGCGGCTACGGAGCATGCGCATGTGGCCGCAGGGCATGTTCGTGGTCGCTACCAGTCGCTACATCGCGTCGGTATGACAGGTCTCATAACCTGATAGTCGTCAACTTTAACAGTTAATATCTCGCTTCGCGGGGCAGAGCGGGGCTTTTTTCTGCCAGATTCGTTCGTTTTGTGCAAAAACGCGTCGATTAAGCCTAAATTCAGCGAAATCGGTGAGGAGGGAGCTCTCCTTCAGATTTACCCTTTCTTTTACGTGCGCCTCTTGCCCTCCATTCCTTTGTAGCGTATATCCTAGGTATCGGAACTCCTTCACTTCTTCCACTTTTCTTCCTTTCCACCGCCAATCTTTTTTCTCCATTTTCTTGCCCCCTCCTTTTCTAAATCTCATGTTCTTGGTCTTTTCTGCATTTAGTTCCAGCCTCTTCTTATCCAAATACCTCTCTAGCCTCTCCGTCATACTTCTCATTTCATCTTCCCCCTCCGCTAGCAGCACCATGTTATCCGCAAACTCCAGGTCATACACCCTTCCTTCCTCCAACCTGATCCCCCCCCCCCACTTGAAGTTGCGGGTAATGTTTAACGCCTCGTCGAGATGCCAAAACGGTTTATCAATAAACGACACATTACTCATTGATCCGAAATTACAGCAAGACCTATTCGCCATTCTGCTTAGATTTCGCGCCAAGCCGGTAGCTCTGACCGCGGATGTGAAGCAAATGTTTCGTCAAATATGGGTAAATTCGGAGCAATGCGACTACCAACTTGTCTGGCGTTTCTCGGAGTCGGATCCTGTTCTTGATTACCTCCTCAAGACGGTTACGTTTGGCTTCACTTCCTCTCCGTTCTTAGCGATCTACTGCTTGCTCCAGCTAGCTCTCAAGTACCGTGAAAAATATCCTCTGGCTTTCGCTGCCTTGTTCGAGGCGCTGTATGTGGATGACATCGTGATTAGTGTTTGTACGGTGGAACAGGCTCGCGCGCATTGAGATCAATTGTTATCGTTACTTCGGAGCGCCGGCTTCGAGCTTAGAAAATGGGCGAGAAGCCATCCTGCCGCGTTGGATGGACTCGACCCGCAGTTATGTAGCCAATCTATGTTGTTGTTTGAATCGAGCGAGGACCAATTCTTTAAAGTCTTAGGCCTTCGTTGGCATTCGCAATCCGATAGCTTCGGATTTCAAGTCAATCCTTTGGATTGTAAGTGTACCAAACGTACCATATTGTCGGAGGTAGCACGCATTTTCGACCCCTTGGGATTCCTGGCTCTATTCACGTTTACTGCGAAATGTCTGATACTACGTTTGTGGACGCTGAAGTTGGATTGGGATGACGACTCTCCAACAGAAATACGTCGCAGTTGGGAACGCTATCAAGCCGAGTTCGACGCGTTGGCTTCCCTTCGCGTTCCTCGCACGTTTGATACGCGCGATGTAGTTCGTTGTCAGGTTCATGGCTTTTGCGATGCCAGTGAACTGGGTTACGGAGCCGTAATTTATTTACGCTTTGTTGCGCAAGATGGTGTAGTAATTCGCTTACTCTGCGCTAAATCTAAGGTAGCACCGCTTCGGCCTATTCCAATACCTCGTTTGGAGCTCTGTGTAGCTCTCCTTCTTTCAAAGTTGATTGCGTACGTTCGTCAAGTCCTTCAGGGACATCTTACCATTGATGCCAAATATGTCTGGTCAGATTCCGATGTTGCCTTCGCCTGGATTCATTCGTCTCCACGTCGGTGGAAGACGTTTGTTCGCAACCGCGTTGTCTGCATTCAGGACAACGTACGGATCTCAGCTTGGGGCCACGTCGATACCGAGTCCAATCCGGCGGATCATTGCTCCCGTGGACTTTTTCTCCGCGATTTAGTGACTAATTCGATTTGGTGGACTGGCCCCGCGTGGCTCATTGACTTTGAACTCACTCAAACAACGACATCGGAAGTTGAGGATCTTCCTGAGGAGGAAGCAAATTCTCACGCTTTCGTCAACACAGATCCTGCCGATGCCACTATTGTGGATTCGCTTCTCGATCGCTTTTCGTCGTTGGACAAACTCATCCGAGTGCTCGTGTATTGTCTACGCTTCGTTAACCGACTCGAATCGAACTCGCGCAATAGAACTCTCGCGGTAGATCAAATTAAATTCCATTCAACTTTACTATTTTTCGTCAAATTCGTACAATCTTATTGATTTGCAGAGGACATAAATAGATTGAAACGTAATCAGAATTGCTCCAAATTTCTGCGAAAACTCGCCCCCTTCTTGGATACTCGCTGAGTCCTCAGGGTGGGCGGTAGATTAACACATTCCGCGATCTCGTATGAAGCTAGGCATCCAGCATTGTTACCTAGCAAACATCGGCTAACGGAATTTATAATAGAGCGCACTCATCGCTTACACTTGCATCCGGGACGTCGAGCGTTACATTATATCTTGTCGTAGAACTTCTGGATTCTTGGGGCCCATCGGGCCATTAAGCGCGCTGCTATCAGTGCTTCCGGGCAAATCCACGTACTGTACAACTTCCTATGGCGGATCTGCCACTGGATCGTGTACGTCAAGCTAAGCTCTTTTTAATCGCTGGAGTCGACTATGCTGGCCCCTTTTTGGTTTGCAATCGTCGTTCTCGCGGAGCAACCCCGTTCAAGGCTTACGTGTGTCTTTTTGTTTGCTTTGCTACAAAGGCAGTTCACTTAAAACTCGCCTGTTTCTTATCTATTGAATCGTTTCTGTTAGCTCTGAGGCGCTTCATTGCTAGGCGCGGCCGCTGCTCGCGGATATATAGCGACTGCGGCACCAATTTTGCTGGAGCTCAGCGAGAGCTCGTTAATTATATGCAAGTTGCCTCAGAGCGGGAACGAATTCAGTGGTCGTTTAATCCTTTTTCTGCGCCACATTTCGGTGGCCTTTAGGAAGCGGGGGTCAAGTCAATAAAGACCCATCTAAAGCGCGTAGTAGGAACGCAGATTCTTACCGTAGAGGAATTCAGCACTCTCATGACACAGATAGAAGCTATCCTGAACTCCAGGCCCTTATACCTTACTAGCTCCGATCTTAACGATCTCGGGATACTCTCTCCGGGGCACTTCCTCACCTTGGAACCCCTCGGAGCTGTTCCGTATCTTGACCTGGATCCGGTGCCGATGAGCCGACTTGATCGATGGCAACTGGTTCAGCACATGCACCAACAGTTTTGGAAGCGTTAGCGGGACGAGTATTTGCACACGCTCAAACAACGCTTTAAATAGTTGAAGTCGTCGTCTACGGTACTCTAGGACTCGTTGGTCTTGTTAAAGAATGAGAACGCCCCTCCCGTACAGTAGAGACGAGGTCGAATTGTGGCGCTTCACCCGGGTCGTGACGGTGTCTCTCGGGTCGCCACAGTGAGGACAGCGGATGACTCTCTCACTCGTCCTCTGATGAAATTGTGTCCTCTGCCAATGGACAATTCACCAGAGGAGTCTAGTCAAGCTTAGAATAAAAATACGTTGTATTTTTAGGTAGGCGGTACATTTGGCGCTCGCCTTTGTAAATAGTTTTGTCAGTATTAGTAGTAGTATTAGGATTAAGATTAGATGATCGGTGCATTACCATATTTCGGTGACTCGCGCAAAACGTCGGCAGATCGCTCGGATCTCGGATTGATATCGATATTTCCGCGACTCGCCAATCGGTGCTGCCCTCGCACACTCTACGAGGGCACTCGCCGAAAAAGACAAACTGCTTGCTCGTGGTACATTACAGGACCGCAAGCACTCACTCATGGTCAAGACGTCGTAAGACACTCATCGCTAAACGGTCTCGGGGTACACACCTTCTCGTGCACGCTCGAACCTACAGAAGGCTGAATCAAGAGTGCAATCTCGCCTGCCTGCTGCCTTGCCGCTCCGCCTGCTTGTTCTGCTTGCCTCTGCTTGCTTTTGCCTGCCTGCTTGCTCTGTCTAGCCCGCTTGCTGTATGTGCCTGCCTAAGGACGGACGAATTCTTTCACGTGACGACCAGTGATGTGAATCCGGCCCGGTTTTTCGCGCATGCGCCCCCCTCCACTGCGCACACAGAGTGACGCTCGGTCTATCGGTGTGTCGGCAGCGCTCGGCAGTGCCGAGCGAGAGGGAGAATATTACTCCCTCCTTGTCGCTCTTACTTAGCTCGCGCGATCGACGATGTTTTTACGCTGGAAATGCTTTCTCGGTATCTCGGCGTGAATCTGAGTTGCCGTTGCACGATAATCAAAGAACAATCTTTGGAATAATGTAAAGATGTAAAAATAATTAATAAACATAAAAAAATTGTAGTAAAAAATTATGTTGATTCCTTTTGCAGAAATTTTCATGCTTTGACCTATACGATCCTATTATTTTAACAATTCCTTTCCGAAAAAAATTTCGTAAAAGAGAAGACACGTATTTTTTTGTTTGGCCTACAATTAATATTTCCGAGTGTAATATTTGTAAGAAATTGAATTTGTCGGTAACTGTTACTTTTAAGTTAATTAATATTTTGCAAATATTTAATTTTATATATACGTACGGGGTATTTTCGTTAACAAATATATTTATATAAAAACTATATTTTATATATTTATTTATGTCGAATAATGATACACATTTAATAATGATTCACATTATTTAGTTGCACATTTCGGGCCGATTCCCGAGGCGACGCCGACGCCTTTTATACCCCCATTACCGCTCAAGGCTCAGCGGCCGAGCCGCCAATCGCTCACGTGACGCGTAATCTCAGGCAAAGTATTCTCGCTATTTGTAGAATAAATTTCAATCTACTTTTGTTTTATATGATTCACGCTTGTTGAAGTATAAAAAAGTGTAATTTGTACATGTAATATTTATATATAATGTATGTGAGGTACAAGAGGGTGGCAGTGTGGTCTTGTGGTAAAGCGCCAGATTCGTAATCCCGAGGACCCGGGTTCGAGTCCACCTGACCACAGGAATTTTTATATTCCAAACTGCACCCCCCGCACAAGTGGGGCTCGTGCGGAGAAACTGGGCTATCTTTCGGAGGAGAAATTAAATTTGAAATTGGTCGTCAAGCTTGGGGAGCTTGGGAGTTTTGGCACTGTGCATGACCTCAGTATCATTATCTTAACAAAACACGTATCCTCCCATTCTGCATACAGGGTAAAATCGCTCTTGTCCACTTGATTCACGAGCTGACTTACGCTCACGTTAATCATAATAACCCAGAAAAAGTACAAGGCAAATGCCTTGTCCTGATTAACAGAACTCTTTTTTTTAATGTATTCGGAGGAGAAATGTATTTCAGAGAAAAAATGGAGAAATTAAATTTGAATGTACTTCTTTGTATTTAGAAGTAACAGAAATTTCATATAAAGGTCTTTCTCCATAGTGGTCTTTTTATTTATCACCTTTTCTACATCCGCGATCAGCTTTGTGTTGGTCATATTTGATAAAGTTCTAACGACTGCTTTAATCACAAAATCAAATTTTCGAAAATCGTTAGAACTTCGTTAGAACGTCGTTAGAACTTCACTAATAAATTAATATAAGTAGAAAAATTTTCAAATTAATACAGAAAAATAGCACATTTAGTAATAAAATAAAATTATTTGTAATCAACATGTTACAATAAATTTTTAAAACATGTTCAATAACAGAAATAAAAAATAATTTACAAAATAAAATATTGCATCTTTGGCTTTTATCACACACTTATTACTATTTTATCACATTTTTATCACATATTTTATTAAAAATATATAGATAATATATGAAGAATAAACTCTGAAAAACAAAATAAACATTTAATATGTGTACAGTAATTAAACGCTGAAAAATAAAATAAAAATTAATAATAATGTGCAGCATGCAGAAAGAAAATATAGGTTAGATGGGCTAGATGTAAAAATTCAAAAGTATTATGCAAAATAATACAAAAAATATTAAGCATTATCAGATGTGCATTGGTTTTTATATAAATTTTGGTTATTATGCAGTTCAAAATGCCTCGCG